TCTAGCACTTGAATACGCTATCTGGTGGCTAAATTCAAAATTAGAGTAGATATGTCAAATTGCTACGCCACGCCCTTGCCAGAGATTCCAATGCTCGTATATGTGTAAAACAATTCTCGTATTTAAATGTTAATTAAACATTTTTTTAATAATAACAATTAATATTATCATTTTATAGGAAATGGTTTGTTCGAACGTGCCGGACCAGTGCCTTTTACGGTGGTTCATCCTTTTCTTTATTTTATCATCGATACTGAAACATCTGTAACATTGATTGCCGGTCGTGTTGATGATCCTCTTAATTCAAGAATTATTTAAAATAACATAAAATAATTAATTTTAACATGAAATGACGAAAACGAGTTATGTTCAAAATGAACAAACAGAAAAAAAACACTCCAAAGTAATAATAGACGTATATTTATTTGACGACTCTTATAAATAATTACAAACTTATAAACAAGTATACATATATATATTTATTTATTTATTTATTTATTTACTTAAGTTTCCTTTCTCTATATTTCGCACACGTATCTTTTTTTTTTAGTCTACAATTGTTCATTGTGCGCTGTACAAAGTTTTATCTGTTTTTGTCAAGAAGAACAAGATGGAGGAAAAAGATGGTGGAAAAAGATGGAGGAAAAGACGAGTCAAAAATCGAACAAAAAAAAGTATAAACTATGGAGGGTAGAGGTAAGGAGTAACATCTCTTATGGGAGAAAATGTGAAAAAGTGTCCAGCGTTTTCTATAAATAATAGTTCAAAAACCTTCCAGAATGGCGCTAGTGAAAATAGAGGTGTGGTATGAATGTAGCAATTGTAAACGAAATTGAAGTATGCCGAGTTATGTAATAATGTAGTAAACATAACCTTAAAGAATTATTATGAGAAAATGTGTAGCTAGAGTGATTTTATTTCGTGAATTGTGAATAGTACGTTTATTGATTTTTTATCATTTAATATTTTATGAAAAAGTATGTGAATAACAAAACAGTTACGGGTACAATTTGTATTGTAAAAAGTTATCCAAGTGGGCGTAAATTCTTCTACGTACTGTGGCGCCATCTTAATTAAATGCATTTCGACGAACACTTTTCATATACAGAGATGTTACTCCTTACCTCTATCCTCCATAATATGAACGATTATTATCGTACAAAAAACAAAAACAAAATTTAAGGAACAGGGCAAGATATTTCAGCCTTTTTCTTTTTTCGTTGATTCAAAACAAAAAAAAAAAATAACGATAATAATTATATTGTAATATAATAATAATAATAATAATAATAATAATAATAATAATTTAGGATTGAATTTTGATCAATTGATTTTTGAATTGTGGATTTGTTTGTTCGATGATTCGTTAACAGGACATTTTAATTAATTATATCTTATCATCTAACAAATATATTATCATCATCTTACTCGTATAAATACAGTTCTATCACGAGCGCGAATAAAGCGCGAGACGTCCCCTTTTTCTTCTTTTTTTTTTTTATGTTTTGTTCCTGACACCAAACTTGCAACTCGTTATTTTATATTTCTGGTGATATTCGATTAAAAAGGACGACGTCATGAAAACGACACAACGTAATCATTGATAAACTAGATCACGTAATATACAACGACGTGTATTTTTATCACGATGATATATATTTTCATCGTTAACATCAGTTTTTATTTTTCGTATACGAATATGAGATTTCGGATTTCCTAATATTGCAAAATCAATAATAACATTTTCATTTTCATTTTTTACAATGAGTGAAATGAATTTTTGTTTTAACTCTCTTCCACGATCGAGAAGGATAACACGTTAATTGATATTTGCATTTCGCGTGCATCAGTATGATCATCATCATTTATCATTTATCGATGCATCGACGATTAGGAACCGTTGACGTTGAAGAGATTTGTCTTTGAAATAAAAAACAAAATAAAAAATCGACGTTCTTATAAGATAAGTTAGAGACGTCATGTCACGTTTTTTAAAATCCAAGGTACAAACTTGGATATTCTAGTACAGACGCCTGGTAAATTGGCTTCGGCACATCCTATACCCCATGAGATTATGCCAGCTAGAAAATATCTACCATCTTTACCACGTACTTGAAGAGGACCACCTGAGTCGCCCTAAAAAAAAAAAAAAACAAAAACATAATTAAATTTTCTTTTAACATTTTTACAGGTTTTTTTTTAGTGACATTTACGAACACCTTAGTAAATTTATTTAATTCTGTCAATCTTTTTACAGTTAATTTTGTAATCAAATAGTCAAACATATACATACTATAGTTGCTTGATTAATTTTTGTTTTGTTTTATTATTAAATTTAACATTTAATTCAATAATTAAGATTAATAAATTAATTCCAATTAATATACATTTGTTATTAAACATTTAAAAAGTATTATTATCATTGTAAAAGTGTTATGAATAAAATTACCTGACAAGAATCCTGTCCTCCAGTCTCGTAACCGGCACACAAGAATATGTCCGGTATAAATTCGTGTCTTCCCGCCCTGAGGAACATCGACTTACACCTGTCGTTGCTAACGATCGGCACAGAAACCTGAAATCACAGAAAAACACGTTGACAAATAGACATAGAGATTAGACTTGAATGTGTTCACTTGGATAAGATGAAAGGAACGTAAGAAAAACGACAACCTCTTGAAGCACGGAAGGTAAAGTTCCACCTTCGCTCAATCTTCCCCATCCAGTGACGGTCGCGTTTTCTCCTATAAGAAGATCGTCGGTAGCTGGCAGGCATATTGGCGATATGTGGGGTGCGAAAGTCAATGAACTTTCCAATCTGACCAATGCAAGATCGTATTCGTAAGTAAAGAAATTGTATTTCGGGTGTACCACTTTCTTGGCAACTCCACGTTCGACGTAAGGCAAACGTTCTTGGACCGATGAGAAATCATATTCCCCGACGCGTATTCGAATTTGTGACGTCAGCAAGCTAAAAGATCGAACAACAGAAAGAAAAGGAATAAAGATCAATGGTAACATATTTTTTTTTTTTATGAGTCTAATGATGTTATTCGAGGACAAACAAATTGATCAATCAAAATTATTGTTATATTTAATCGTACTTACTCATCGACACAATGACCCGCAGTAGCGATCCAATTTTCATTGAGTACCGCACCACCGCAACGATGAGTACTTGAAAAACCAAAGAAGGACGTACGCCTAACCGACACCTGCCAAGGCCATCGACCGAACGGTGCATCCTTGCCACCAACGATCCTGGTTTCGGGAAGTGGGAAAAGTGGTGGGACACCGCATTGCGTGCCCTTATTGTCGGCTACAGCTGATACCGTCATCATCGTTCCTGTCTTCGTAATAGCCTCCGGAGTTGTTGATTTTAACATCGATTCCGTAGACTTTGAAGTAGATGTTGTTGCACTCGTAGTAGTAGTAGTAGTAGATGGTTTTTCCGTAGTAGTCGTAGTTGTACTTGTGGTGGTGGTAGTAGTAGTTGTGCTAGTGGTAGTCGTTGATGTTGTGCTAGTGGTCGACGTTGTGGTCTTCTTCGTTGGTCTCGTTCTCGTTGAGGTTTCAAAGTGGGACGTTGTTATGTAGTGCGCCGAACCCACGGGTTTGTGGTATTCGGTATTCTAAGATGTAAAAAGGTGAGCACATAAGTAAGAAGGTTCATTTTGTTTCAGTAAACAAAGTATGCTGAGATAAGAGTAATTACGAACTGTTTGTTCATAGATTCAAGTGATTAGTTTCATTTTTATAACAAGAATTATATGATGATCGTTCCAAACGTACTTCTTGTGACTCGGTAGGCTTGAAACTCGAATGATGAGGAAAACTTTCAGGTCCGTTTTGCATCAAACTAGGATTATCGGTCCAGTGTGGTTTCAATGACGGCCTGGGTGGAGTCCAGCTGTTTTCTGACCAAAAATAAGAACTAGCACTGAAAGGTCTGGTAGTTTCAAACGTTGTTGATGGTTTTGCTGATGAAGTGAAGGTTGACGAGCTAGCGGTGGTGGCAGAGGAGGAAGAGGTGGAGGAGATGGAGGATGAGGATGAGAACAACGACGAGGTTGACGAAGACGATGACGAAGGTCTTTGCTTCGTTACAAACGCCGGCTCTGTGGTAACTTGCCAGTGAGAGGTTTGTGGTACGGATCCGGCTGCGCTAGAATGAAAGAAAAGTTTTAAGCGTTGGCTCGGAAACTTTCATCTCCACTCCCAGTACTTTTCTTTTATATTTGCTACGCGTAATCGATAATAAATAAAATAGAGATATATGAAACTCAACGCAGCGTGTAATTAGAAGCAAAATTCCAAACCCGATAAAGATCTGATATGAGTCTTTCAATTTCTTTTTTCATATTTGCATAACTTTCCCTCTAGATTCCTTCCCTTTTTTTTTTTTTTAAATTACATTATTTGCAAGTTTGATTACTCGACCACGTAGTCGGATACCTGGTTGGTTGACTATTGAAGTACGTAGGTCTTGGTGGTGTGGTTGTTTTTAGGGACACGTCTGAGTTATTGGGTTTCAGGATGAAACTCGGTCTCGCATCGGTTTGACTGCTCAAAGAAACTGGTCGAAATGTTGTCGTCTTGATTGAGAAATACGGTTTGGAGAAATCCGTCAATGGTTTCAGGGTAGCTGGTTTTGTGGCCCATTGCGGTCGTTCGGTGTGTATGAGGTTTATATTGGAATGCTGATTTTTCACAGGTTCCTGATAAAACATATACAAATTATAATATATATATATATATTTAATAATAATAAATAATAAATATTTTCTTACATTTTCATTAACAGAATTGACGTATGGTCGATGTATCGTTTCCTGTACACTGAGATCAGCATCCTCAACTTTGTCGTCATCTGGTCTCGACTCCGAGGGTCTTTGGTTGTTCGGCCAGTTAGGCCTCTTCGATTGTCCATCATTCGACGCATGTTCCTTTCCAGGTAAGCGTATCACCAATGTATTAGGCGAACTTCCCACTTTATCCTTAAAGCCCTGATAATTTGAATGTCCTTGAAATTGCAGATCAACTTTATCTTCCGCGTTGACATCTGGCCTGATCTTTTGTTGAGGCAATTGTGATTCATGGAAGTTTGGTTTTTTGGTACCCTGAGAATTGTCGGACCAATAAGAAGAAGCAGCAGAAGAAGAAGAAGAAGAAGATGAAGATGAAGAGGATCCAGCAGGTAGGACGGAAGTTTGAAATCTGTCAGTATGTTCTGACGTTGGTTTTGCGTGGGGTCTTTTTTGTAAAGGTCGAGCAACGTTACTCGAAGGTGTTTTAAATGGTCTCGGTGAAGCGTGTAATCCAGTATGAGAAGATGATTGTTGATAAACTGCACTTGGCCTGGAAGTACTCGAGACCGGGAAGTTGGTATGAGAGGTCACGGTAAACCTAGTCGTTTCACTTCCCAATACTTCCGTTAGTATTGGCCTGAGAGTATTCGATTCATGATAAAGATGATGATGATGATGATGTTGTTGCTGTTGCTGTTGCAGATCTCCTTGTTCCTCGTGACGATGATCTTGTTCCTGTTGATGTAACTGATGTCCTTGCGAGACTATAGAGTTAACCGTAGAATTGTGTACGCAACAGCTACCGAACATGAATGTGTCGACGCACACACCTACGTGCGTGCCTTCCGATTTGATACACTCCCAGACGAACATGCAAGTACCCTCGTGGCCACCTGGACTGGGCACTTTGCAAGGCTTCGGACTGATCTTGTAACCTAGGATCAAGTAAGGAAACTACTATCGTAATCTCGTTCGATCATGGAAAATCAAAATGTTCAAGTGGTTACTCTTCTTATTCTTATTCTTATTATTCTTCTAGGTTCTCTCGGTCATGGGTGTAGTAAACGTAAAAGTTGGTATAAACCGAGCATACAAGTTACAAGTAGCTGAACGAGAAGCAGCGGTAAGTGCAAGTAATGCATGTAATACGATCGTCGAACGGACATCGTGCCGCTCAGGGTCACGATAAAATCTAACGACCGTGGAGATTATATCGGGTGTCTAATGAACGGTTACTTCGCTCTCGCGATAATCTAGCAGGAGTTATACGTTTGGCGCACGACAAGTTTACATACATATATATATATATATGTGTATATATATTACGTTCTAGTGTATGTATGTGTGTATCGTGTGGAAGCAAATCGATGCGTAACACTCCTTCACCTAGCGTTTCTACTTCTAGCGGTTTCCTTAATTGAATTTACCTATTAGTCGTTCGGTATTTGTTCGCTTCAACGGACGGGATTATTATTTCGAGAAAAAGATACCTCTATATATATATATATATATATATACGTGCCGGCTTTCGATACTTTTATCATGAGGAATCCAGAATGCATGAGAGTAACTATTACACCACCCCCACCACCACTATCACCACCACCCAAGTCAAGTCAAGTTACTCTCGCCGTATTAAAGGAGACAAGATTTAACGGTTATAAATTTGCCGCGTGTTTCCTCGTATTTAATCATCGAGTTTCATTGATCTTTAGCGACTCACAACAACAATAACAACAATAATAACAAAAATAAATATATTATTTTAACAAAATGATAAATAATATACGTTTTACACAGGTATCTATATATATATACATTATTATTGAAATTGATTTAATATATTTTTAATTCGAATAAGATATTATAAATTTGCATAGTTTAACAGAAATACCAAATTATTTTTGATATTAACATTTTTTCACGATTTTTATTCGAATATAAACGGAATGACAAACGTTTATTTTCAATTATACGAGTCGAAATAAATTTTTATTTCATTCCCGAAAGGAAACCTGTTGTCGGAAACGTCATTAGAGTGCATCGTGTGATGAACTCCTGTTCTCCTCCCCACCCCATCTCACCTCACCCCACCGATGTCGCGTCTTCGTCTTGCTGCTAGGTGAAAGTGTACCACTTGTCGATAAGCACGCGCACGCTTACCTGCGAGGGCTTCGGCGAATAACCAAAAGAAAAGAAAATAAAAGAAAAGAAATAAGAGGCAGAAAATACGTCGACATTTTTTAATTGCGGGAATGGAGAAAGAGAGAGAGAGAGAGAGAGAGAGAAAAAGAATGAGACAGGTACGTACTTACGTAGACCTGGGCCAGGTCGTTAACCGTGTCGTTTTCTTTTTCTAGTTACACGTATTTTCTATGTTTTACGGAAACGTAAATTTATTAATGTGTTTTGACACCGCTATGCATTTAATTTTTTTTTTGTTTTTTTTCTTTTTCCTTTTGTCAAAAGTCATCATACGCAAAATAATAATGGGATTATTGTTTTTACAAACAAATCGTATTTATAAAAAAAAAAAGACAAACCCGTTGTCGTAAATATTTCATAATTTCATTTAGGTTACACTATAGTTTATTTTACAAAAAATAAGGTAACACGTAATTTTCTCCTTTGTCTTTATAATAAATATAATAAAAGGTGAAACGAAAGTTGAAGAGAGATCAAGGTGGAGATTTCGTAATTAAATTAAACGACGTGCCGTATAAAAGTCGGTTACGAGTTAAATTTTGTTCGTTCTTTGAGAGGGGATGGGTTAGGACAAGGTGATGGTTGTAGTGGTAGTTAATCGTTACAAATGGTTTTTCTTGAATAATTTTTTTTGGTTCCAGGTGATCTTTCTTCGAATCAACAGAAAGTCAGACGATGAAATTGATGTTGTCTCTCTCTCTCTCTCTCTTTCTCTTTTTCTTTCTTTCTTTCTTTCTCATTTCCTTCATTCGCTTTTCTTTTCTCACGCTCAAAACACGGCTGGCTGCACCTTGACCGATTTCTCTTTCCAATTAGGCGTTACACATTTCAGAAAAAGGAATCCACCCTTGGGTAAAATGAAGATTGAAGATAATTGAAGGTGAGTATAGACAGAGAAAGGTTAAGAAAGAGAATGTGAATGTGAAATAGTAGTTGTAGTAGTAAAAGACACGGATTTGTTCTTTCTGTGAGTAAATAACTAAGAAGAATAAGAATAAGAATAAGAAGAAGAAGATAAAAAAAAAATAAATGTTGTCTTATTGACACCGGTCAAAAATGACCATGTAAAATCTTCTATCAACTAAATGGATGGTCATCGATGTTCCCAACTCGAAAGTTACACAAACGTTTACCGACGAGCAAGGAAACACCGAAAAAAAGCGTATGTAGTAGTGTAAGTTAAAACACCAAAAGGAGTATTACTGACTGTGACCTCGATTTAGCGTGCTGAGAGACCTGGCGATGCCCGACCACCAGAGAATTGTGGCCACGTAACCGATCCACCGCATCCTGATCCCTGAAAACATCAATGTCATCCATTTTAGTCGAATCATTCGCGTCAAAGTCTTCTTTCTCTTTATCTTTGACAATGACAATTTATTGTCATTTGATATCGTATCTTTTTATCATGTTGATAAAAAAAGAAAAGGTATTATACATATTTTTTTTTTAATTAGACATCATTTAAATTAAAAGTTATTAATTGTCGTGTGTGTAGTAGTCACAATATGTTTGTCCACGAATAATATCGAAACTATTCAACCTATCTTAATGAAATTTTGTGTATTTTGTATTATTTTTGTCAACTTAAAATATAGGATAGTTTTTATCGCGTTTATTTTGTATTTTTTATCGCCAATTTAGGGATTATCTAGGTCTATAGGTACTAAAATTTTCAATAGATGGCGGTGTATTACAATTCAATTTTTTCAGAGTTACATATAACATAACTAATCTTATTTTTTTATAATCTAATTGTGCTATTATTTTGTGTGTTGTTATCATTTACAAAAAGTAGTATAGTATTATAGTAGTATATAGTTAATATAGAATTATATTATTATTATTATTATATTTTAATAATTTGTATAATTAATAATTAATAATTAAATTCTACACTATAGTAATATAGTTAATAATTACTAATTATTAATTAATTTAAATTAWATTAAAATTATATTAAACAAAGCCACAGCAACGCGTTACAGGAGCATCCTAGTATATATATATAGTATTAAAATGTCCTTGAGAACAATTAAAATCCATTATAAATTTCTTTTTACAATTAGTTAAAGTATAATATTTGAATATTCTTGTTCTTTTTCTTCTTATAAGTTAGTCGTAAACGAAGAAATGTGCATTTCTTACGTCTTCTAAGTTCTCGTCTGTTAATAAGCATACCTAATGCGAATACGTTCCTTTCACGTGTCTCGGAAGCATGCCAAAGTACGAAGCTCAATGTCGCGTTTTCGCTCTCGACAGACGGAATTATAATGCACCAAGTTGTCGATGGGATTTGCCAAGCGATTTCTACGCGTTCAGAATGAAAGATTGGTAATGTAAAGTGCGTTAGAATAATAGCTGAACGAGAACTATCGAATTTATCACGGGTTTTAATCTTATTCTTATGTATACTAACTTTAACTATTAGTTAACATACTGATCAATGTTTAAATTCAATCTTCGTAGAAGTGATAACAAAGTAATTTAATTGTTTCAGTCGTGTACGTAATTAAATTAAAAGTTAATTCATTTACGTGTCAATTAAGTATTAAATTGGTTAGTTATTTTTAGGTTAGGTATTTATTTTGTATAGAGGATTGATTTTAATGAAAATGAAGATTTCATTGTAATTTGTTGAAAATACAAAATAAAGAAATTAAGGTTAGGATTGTTAACCATTTTTTTTTAACCAATTTAGTTAAATTATATTTAGCAATTTAAATATTCCATTATGTTAATAATAATAATAATAATAATAATAATAATAATATATATTTTAATTTAATTTAACTATAATTACAATTTTATTTCTATATGTTTTTGAAAAGCTTAACACAAATAGTAAACGGTTTAGTTGTCAACAAAAAATATCTAGATAATTATCTAATCGTAATCTTATCGAAAAAAAAATCTAGATTTATCTTTTATATAAAAATAATAATAATAATAATAATAATAATAATTTCGTTCACACATACGAATTTTCTTTCACTATTGATTTTTCTTTTACTTTACCAAGTGAGTGAAATTGTCTGCTCACGACGAGGGTCCGCGTCCGGTCGTCGGTCAACGTCGACAAAGACGTCGAAGAAAAGAAGACGGATGTAAAGTAATCAGTTGAAAGAAAGAAAGAAAGAGACAAAACCGACGAGACCTGAATGCACCTGACTTATCGCTTTACCGAAGCCCTCTTTATAAGTCGATCTTGGTGCGTTACGACCTACTTTGCGATTAACAACTCGCATTCCCTACAGATCGGTTTGAAGTAAACACACTTGTAACTAAACGGAATGATGCTGGGAGGCATATATGTCTACATAATTATGAAAGTGGTTTAACCTAACTCTTGTTTCCTAAATATTTTAAAGGATTACATTTGAAATTCTAGAATAATATTGAAAATAACAAACATTATCCTAACGGGTCTAACCTAACTCTTGTATCTAACTATGGAGGGTATAGGTAAGGAGTAACATCACTTATAGAAGAAAATGTGAAAAAGTGTCCAGCGTTTTTTGAAAATAACAGTTCAAAAATTTTCCAGAATGGCGCTGGTGAACTTAGTAGGTATGGGTATAAATGTAGCAATTGTAAACGAAATTGAAGTATGCCGAGTTATGTAATAATGTAGTAAACATAACCTTAAAGAATTATTATGAGAAAACGTGTAGCTAGAGTGATTTTATTTCGTGAATTGTGAATAGTACGTTTATTGATTTTTTTATCATTAAATATTTTATGAAAAAGTATGTGAATAACAAAATATTTATGGGTACAATTTGTGTTGTAAAATGTTATCCAAGTGGGCGTAAATCTCTCTAAGTACTGTGGCGCCACCCTAATTGAATGCATTTCGACGAACACTTTTCATATACAGAGATGTTACTCTTGACCTCTATTCTCCATATATCTAACCTAACTCTTGTTTCTTAAATATTGAAAAGAATTACATTTAAAATTCTAGAATAATATTGAAAATAACAAAAATTATTCTAACGGGGTTCACTTTTGAATAATATCATATGAAATTAATTTACTTTCAAAAGTAATGTCATGTGAAATAACCTCTAATGAACTGATTTTTGTTTTAAATTTTGATTTATGGTTAGATCAATTTCATAATTATGGGCCCAAGTGTTGGATTACTGTTGAAATTGTTGGGATTAAAACATTGTAAGAAATGTTTGAAAAAGAAAAGTTTAGTTTACGTTTTCTAGTAGCAACTTGTGTTGGTCTGTCCATTAAAAGTACCATGCCCGGACATAGTTTAACTTTGACGATCCAAGATTACTACCGTTAACAACTTCATACAACTTTTACTTTCTCGAGTTATTATACCGCTACCTCGGCCGTGGGCGTTAAGCCAATTATTGTTATTATTATTTTCTTTTTCTTTTTCTTTTCTTTTCTTTTCTTTTCTTAAGGCCACACTTGTGCTAATGTTAGGTATTGTTTTCTAGTTTCTCTCTCTCTCTCTCTCTCTCTCTCATTACACAATCTCATTCGCACGGTATTTTCTAAATCGTAAGAGTGTGATTAATCAGTGTCTAACTAAAACTTTACGTTATTTTTTTTTTTTCATCGACAATAAATGAAATAAAATGGAACAATTTTGTAATGAACGTAAAGTAATTGATACAATTATCGTAGTTTAATGTAATACGATCGATGTATTGTATTATTTATCTGTAATTATGATACATAATTGATTGTTATCAGTATGTTTAACCCGTTGAATATTATGGGCGCATATATGCGTTTGGTAAAAATTACTAGCGTGGTCGTTCGACATATATATATATTTATTTGTTTAATATTAATGTAAAATAATATAATATTTGGTACTTACGTATTAACGCCACTGCAGCAAAAATTCCGCTAATGCGCCAATTAAGAGCAATCTTGTTGTTTGCACATAGCAACCGTCAGGGTTGCGTCAGGTTTTCGTCAGGGTTGGGTCAGAGTTGTGTCAGGGTTTCTGTTCTCTACCAAATCTTTCATAGACGATAAACTTTATATTTTTTTTGGTAGAAAATTGTCCGATATAGAATTTAACATATAGATTCAAAACAGTCTCTATTTTCTTTCACTTGATGCTGTCGTCATAACCCTGACGCAACCCTGACGGTTGCTGTGTGCAAACAATAAAGTTGTTGTGTGCGAACAACAAGATTGCTCTTAATTGGCGCATTAGCGGAATTTTTGCTGCGGTGGCGTTAATACGTAAGTATCTAATATTTATTTAAATTATATTCATATAAATAAAACTGTAATTATTAAATATAATTTATTATTAAAATTTGATTAATAATTAATTGATATTATTTCTACAAAATATTTTCAGTAAAAGTATTCATCACTCAATGGGTTAATTAGATTTACGAATTTGTTTGTTTGTTTGTTTTATTTTTCAAGAATTGTTCAACGATATCTAAGAAAATAATTTAGAACGTATTAAGGAATCATCGAACTGTTATACATATATATGTAATATATATATATATATATATCACGTCGGAACGGCTTTATACTCGCATCGTCGAACATCATCACGTGTTTATCGAGCTCAAGAAAAGAAATCGTCATACCGTAACGGTTTAATGAAACGCGTGCGATCATGCTGGACCGTTCAGCCGTGTCGTTCCTCCTCCTCTTCTTATTTTTCTTCTTTTACTTTTTTGTTCTTTTATTTTATTTTATTTTTTTTTTGTATTTTCTTCCTATATGAATCCTCATGATCAAATCGTCACGTGAATGAAATTCTAGGATTCCACTATTCTACGATTTAGTAATAATTATTATTTAATTATATATTGTACAACGTTTACATAATTGGAAATTAATTTACAATGGTTTTTGGATTTGTATTTCGTTTAACAAATATTTCATATTTATTATTTAATTTGTATTTTATATTTATTACAGATTTATATAATTTTCTTTTTATTTATTTATTTATTTATTTATTGTTGTAAATTAATTATAAAATTAAGAAATGATAAAGTATCATATCACGTAGGATGAACATTTGACGATTTGTCTTTGGTTTGTTAAACAAATATCGACGATTTATTATTTGATTTATTTATAATGTTATTTTTATTTATTAATTATAAAATTAAGAAAATAACAAAGAATAAATTATTATTTTGTCATATCACATCATCCAATAGGTGAGAATTTAATTTGAAATCGTTTGACGATCAATTCCTGATAGAAAAAAGCAACAACAACAACAACAACAATAAACATTGACAAAAATTCATATCAAATATATAAAATATACTTTTAGTAGTAGTAGAGGTTATGTTTTAAAAGAGTACATAAATAGTCTCATATAAGCTTTACAAGTTTTTCACCTAACGTTCTTTTCCTGGCGGATAAGAGTCAAACGGTTGCATAAATCAGGTGGAATCGACCCACATGCGCAGCCATTCTTTGAAAGCGCGTACCACTACTACCACCACCATTACCATCACCATCACCATCACCATCACTATGGGGATTTAATGTAGCTTGATTTATGTGGCGTGAAACGCGTTGACGTTTCCGAGTGCCTTACCAAGGCAAATCGAAAGCCGAACACAATGTTTTCAGACCGAACTAAACATTCTCTCTCTCTCTCTCTCTCTCGTGTCAGTAAAATTCATTTCAACGCGATAACTAGCCTTTTCTTTTGTTCTGTTATTTTACAAGTAGTTGTTGTGTATGTGTGTTGTGTATAAATGTAACATATTGTTACTTTTCTAATAGATAAAAGTCAATTATGATTTTGATCTTTAATTGTAAAACGTTTTTAATTATTACCTATAAAAAAATAATATGAATTAATGTATAGAATAATTAATTAAATAAAATAGAAAAGATAATTAAAAATATATAATTAAAAAAAAAAAAAAATAAAGAAAAACACATATATATGTATATACACACATATTGTTATTTTCTAATATATGTTAGATAGTTGATCTTTAATGTAACACGTTTTTTATTATTAGCAATAAAATAATATAAATTAGGGTAGATAATAATTACTAAAATAAAATAAAATAAATAATTAAAAAAAAAAAAAAACATACAAACACACACACACACACACATACACACATATACAAATATATGAAGAAGATAGATAAAATATAATTCATTGCAATTTTCAACTCGCGTGTCAACTCGTAAAGAATCGATACATTGATCTTATAAGACTATATCATTTTCCATCGCTAGTTACGAGTAAGAGAAATGAGGTAGAAATAAAACATAACCTTCTTATCGATCCTTATACACAACTATAGTTGTATAGCTGGTACACATAGAGTTCGTTCGACCGGTATCGGAATTACCTTTTCCATGATACGAGTAATCTTACGACGACGTTCAGAGTAACACCTACTCGTTCCCATAAGGAATATATCTGGTTACATTGCTAAACAAAAATACGATACTTTTCCAATCAGTTAGATGATGAGATTATGTATGAGAAAGAGAGAAAGAGAGAGAGAGATTGATTGACGTAATTGGTATTGACACTGTAAAACCTTCGTGATCGGTATTATTGAATGTGGAAATTCCGGATTTGGTATCTCAATAACTTTTTTGTCTTTTTTGTTGTTGTAGAAGTAATATGATTTCTTTAGTTTTTATATTTAGTCAAGAAAAAACTGGATTAACAATTATCTTATCATATATTACATATATATATATATCTTTCTATATTTTATATAATAAAAAAAAAGGATTCTTTTTATTTATATATACATTTAAATTCTTTAATCCTAGTTTACGAACTATATTTATAATTGCATTTCTATAATTAAACTCACGGTTTTCTTATACATTCTATAATCGTATTACTTACTTATCGATTGATAGGATTTAAACTGGTCATTTATACAGATAACTAGAGATTAAAACAAGACTAAAATTAGACATGTTGATTTAAATAAATGTGATTAAATATTATTTCTCGATATTTGCTTGTATTTTGTTTTGCAATGTTAATTTTGTTAATAATTATTTTGGTATTATCCAAGAATTCCAGTTCAAATATGTCAATATTGGTTAGTATCAATATTATTATACAGTAATTTAATTTTTTTTGGTTGCATTTTCGTATTGTGGCGGGTTATGGGGTTAACATTACGTTTGTATACTTGCGTTTACAGTAATCTGTCGTAACACGTTAAATTAATTTAACTGTATTTATTATAAAAATACAGTTATATTTGTGTTGTTTTAATTTTACGAATCATCCTAAAAGGATTCCTTGATATGGTAGTTATACAGGTATTGGTTAGTATGAATATTATTATACAGTTAATTTAATATTTTTTTATTTGCATTTTCGTATTGTGGCGGGTTATGGGGTTAACACTACGTTGTATATTTGAGCTTATAATAATCTTTAATAACACGTTTGCAAATTTGACTGTATTTATTACAAAAATACAGTTATATTTACGAATTTTTAATTTTACGAATCATCCTAATAGGATTTCTTCTCTTATGGTAGTTGTTATTGTTGTTTTATCCTTATTCAGAGAAATCATTTTTTGCAAATTGTTTTTATTACATCGAATACGTAGAAAACGGGGATACACTTGTGTATTTCGTTAGGAATGTGGCGTGGAGGTAAAAAAAATAAAATAAA